CTCAGGAAACGTCGCAAAACGATGAAAATTTCACCAGACCACTTTTGATAGTATTCCCTGTCAAAAATGGATGATATTTTCGAAATGCGCACTTTATCACCGTTTTTGAACTGTAGGGCCGCTTTGATTGCTTGCTTGGGATCTCCTCTCGAGACAGGAATGTTGATACGCGCACTTCTTCGTTGTTTTGTCTAGCCAGTTCAGGTTCAATGTCAATAGTGCGGTGGTACGTCTTGTTGTAACTCCGAGCGAATTCCTGAAGACGATTAATATATCGTTGGTATTGTTGAATGTCATGTAACGATACATCTTAGTTTTGATCGTCTTGGCTCTCTCTGCATAGTTGGCTTTAACTTCGGTGTTTTGAGAATAAAAATGTTCTATGTTGTGATCCGTTAATATATTATTGAAGGCTTTTGATCGAAATTCTTGTCCTTTGTCCGTGCGAAGCTTCGTAGGTTGCCTCCCCTCACGCAATACGTCTTCGAACGCTCGAGCTGTCGTTGGTCCTTTTTTATCCTTTAAAGGTCGCATCCACAGGTACTTGGAGAAGATGTCGATGACCAAGAGTACGAACTGAACACCCTCATTTTCTTTGCTGATTTTTTTTTCATTTCCAGGAGATCGGCGTCCCATTGATCATCAAGACCAGCGACAAACACCTGATCGCGACGATAATGTCGTCTCACGTGTCGCTGAAGACTGTAGGGTTCCTGTCTTTGTAACCATTTGCGTACCTTGTACTTATCATATTTTCCCTCTTTTTGAACGTATCTGAATAATTTATCCACTCCGGTAAAACTACAAGCTGTGAATGGATCGTAATACACTTGCTCGTAATACACTTGCTTGAGATAATCCTCCCAAGACGTGTTTCTTCTGGCATGGATAACGTTAAAATGAAGCTTAAATGTACCCCTATCCCTTATATAATACCTAATTACGTGACCTATAATGACATAAATAACAACACTCTTTTTATCCACTGTTTATTAAAGTAAACGCAACAATGTAAAATCGATAATCCATTCTTCAAACAATATTTGGGAATAGTCTCGAAATGTTACTAGTATTTAGACTTCTTAGGATTCATCACTATCCTCTTCTTCCATCTCACTGTCGTCATCCCCTCTCTCTTGGTCTTCGATTTCGGAACCATCATCGATCTCCATATCACTCTCGGAATCCCAAATTTCTTCAAGGACAGGTCGATTCTTATTCAAAGCAATTCTGATGGCTTTGCGTTCGTCATAGCTTTCGGACAGGAAATCTGTAACATCATCCATGAACTTTGTGTGAATAGGTTCGTTTTGTAACTGAAGGATGTACAGGATGAGTTTTCCATACTTTTCTGAGAATTTCTTCAGTTCTTTTAGAGTTCATTTTTTCCTCCGTTTGAACTCTGGCGTCTTCTCGTGATAGACCTTTCTTCACGTATTTATCATATTTCAGGTCCCATAGTTTTTCGTTGTCTTCTTTTGCCCTTTTTATGGGAAAGTTAAAGACTTTGTGTTCGTCATCATTTTCTTTCTCTGCATCTCTGGTGACATTTGACTTATCCACTTCCATGAGGGCAATATCATCTTCCCAATGTCCGTTTAATAGACACCATCTTTTCACATGTCTTTGAAGGTCGTGGACGTTTTCAAAGACCAAACCACAATCATCATAGGAAGGCATATCTTCTGTAGGTGTGATGTGTTGAAAATCCGACCTGGTGGATTGGTAGGTTGAAGGAATCGACGCGTGGAACGTCGGAAAATGAGGGAAATTCTCTGCTTCTTGCTGTATGATAGGATTCAAGACGTCAGTGCGCATGCGCAGATGTTCGGGTGTAGTGGGTTTCAAATTCACTAACAAGTATCCATACGTTTTGGAAGAAGCGTCTTTAAAATGTCTCAGAGGATTTTCGGGATACATCTGCCGAGCCAAGGTCATGACTTCCTGTCTGTCCACAGGATTGTTAAACAGGACCAGGTAATGGCAATTTTGTCTCTGGATGGGATCTTTGTTGTAGTATAGGTTTTGATTGATGACTATGACGGACATATTTCTGTGATGACTGTCCTCCATAAACAATTCGTTGATTCTGGAATCTTTGGAAGCAGTAGACATCAGATCGTCCAAAATCACGAGATGTATAAAGGAATCTTGATCCAGATACTAATAGAATCATTCATTACTACGAGTGTGGGATAGTGAAATTCCACCGAGGGGACAAGATTCACAGTCTAGGACGAGGCTTTGCCGAGTCCTAGACCGTGAATCTTGGCCCCGAGGTGGAATTTCACTATTCCCACACGAGTATGTTATGAATGATTATTTTTCTCGCATTATTTCATCCAAAATAACGGCCTTCAATGACGTCGCCATATTGGGGCTAAAAAAATATTTTTATTTTTCCATCTAATTAAAAATCTAAATACACCATCGGAGAGAGCGTACCTGAAAATGGTTTACACGTAGTGTAAACTGGTAAAATAAATTTCAGTCCGTGTAAATTAATCAGATAGATAAAAACTGGGAATAAAAAACTAATCTATCCGAGAGCGTTAAAGAAGAATCATTCCGCGATCTAAAAATAGTGCCATTTAAAAAGTGAAAATACGACAATATTTTGAATGAAAATAAGTTTATATTAATCAGTTAAATGACATATTAAACAACATATTAAGTAAGTGTAATATTTTTTTTTACATTGTTTCAATTTCTTTATATAAATACGGAATGTTTACGTTATCGTTCGTGGCGTAGTAATACACAGTGTGAGACAGAAAAATCTGGCACTGCTGTCTCACAAGGGACAAGTCAATCTTACACTGGTGATTATGCGAGAAAAAGGTATTCCTTGAATAAATTCGACCTTTAGATAAACAGTACCCTGAATGACATCATACAGAGGTTGCCAACATTTGTAGAGCCATATGATTCTCTCAGGAGGAGGTCATATTATATTCAGGCAGTGTTTGAAGAGCATTTTTAAGAAATACGTCTTGCACAACACGTGCAGCCCGAAATATTCGCAGTAAAGGGATGTAGGAGGACAAAGTCCTGGTGTCATTGCTGTGAAGGAGGAGTCGCTGATGGCGAAGGCGGCAGTGGCTTGCAAACGAACGGACAAACACAGAGGATACCCAAAGTCCCCCCAGGTTTCACCGATTTATTTGATTAGAATGGGGTTTTATAGTTGCTGAGTAAAATGAGATTTGAAAATTTTCATTTTACGTGTACGTAAGCTCAATACATCTTGTCACCATATTGAAGAAGGAACACTATAGATCTACATGTATATCAAAAAATGCATACTGGGCGAAGCGTAAGCCGAGCACAATATGCATTTCTTAAGGACCCCACATATTTCCGTAATTACCCCTCTAAGTGTCTACATAACTAATTATTTATCCTGTCGAAGAATTCTAACAAACTTCATTTTATGTGAGTTAGCCTAGTAGATTGCTTTCATTGTGACTTCGTTAAATGTCTACATTACATCAGTTATTAGGCTTTTTGTGTGTTCAAATGAAAACAGCTATGATCTGTGCAGTATATATGGCACCCTGAGGGAGCATATTGATTTGATGTGTGGTGGGTAGGTCACGTGGAGGGGGCACATTAGCAATATGAGGTGGGTAGACAGTATAAAATCGTTTCATGCAGTATTCTTCTCGACCAATGAAATATCACGATTTTTATCAGAGGCAGGATAAGTTGCAATGTGCCCCCCCCCCCCCTCAGTAGTATAAACGGTCTAGATAGCCCCGCATTCTGATTGGCTGAGAGAAATTATGTGATCAGTTCTGATTGGTGGAGGGGATAGGTGGGTCAACTGAGTGCAGTCCTAACCCTAATTCCCCCTAACCCTAGCCCTAACCCTAGCCCCTATCCCTAACTAACCCTAACTAACCCTAACCCCTAACCCTAACCCTAACCCTAATCCTAATCCTAACCCTAACCCTAACCCTATCCCCCTTAGCCCTAACTAACCCTAACCCTAACTAATCCTAACCCCTAACTAACCCTAACCCTAACCCTAACCCCAACCTAACCCTAATCCCCTAACCCTAACCCCCTAACTAACCCTAACCTATTCCCCTTAAATACTGGAGTTGTTTACATTGGTACGTAGGTACTACGTTTTTTGTTTATGCTGACTATACAGGTAAATACTTGGCAGCGAGCCAAGTTTGTTTAGAGCCGTGTGCAAAAAAAAAAAAAAAAATATGCTGACTACACAGGTAAATACTTGGCAGCGATTCAAGTCAGGGGACCGTGTGTAAAAAATATGCTGACTATACAGGTAAATACTTGGCAGCGATTCAAGTCAGAGGACCGTGTGCAAAAAATATGCTGACTACACAGGTAAATACTTGGCAGCGATTCAAGTCAGGGGACCGTGTGCAAAAAATATGCTGACTATACAGGTAAATACTTGGCAGCGATTCAAGTCAGGGGACCGTGTGTAAAAAATATGCTGACTATACAGGTAAATACTTGGCAGCGATTCAAGTCAGGGGACCGTGTGCAAAAAATATGCTGACTACACAGGTAAATACTTGGCAGCGATTCAAGTCAGGGGACCGTGTGCAAAAAATATGCTGACTATACAGGTAAATACTTGGCAGCGATTCAAGTCAGGGGACCGTGTGCAAAAAATATGCTGACTACACAGGTAAATACTTGGCACCGATTCAAGTTTGTTTAGGGCCGTGTGCAAAAAAAAAATAAAAATATGCTTACCTGTGTATTGTGACGTCATCCACTGTATATAAATACGGTTTTCTCCGACTTTGGGTTCATTTTACTCTCAGAGCCATCACCTGATAGCGAGCTACCCTATGCATTATGACGTCATACACTTGTAAAATTAAAGTTTCATTTTCACTTTTGTTTCTAAGAAGTCAACTTAGATTTTCAAAAAATGTAAGACTATCTTTTGTTTACTTTGATGATTTTCCTACTGTGAAGCTTTCCTTGTATAAAGCTCAATTTTTCCATGACTACGGAAGTAAACATCCTGATGCATTCTTGTCATGTGAATGTTGAGAGCGTGTTCATTTTTGAAATCTCCTTTCTGACAGACATATTCTACAGGTAAGTTTGTCTTATTTTTGTTTACATTTCCTATATGAAGGTCATCTTTGTATTTAACCATGATTATGTAAAGTTCTGTTTTGATTGTAAATACTATATTGATCCTCATTTCATGTGATTTACAGTTGTTTAGCCTGCATGTAACTCAGAGTGCATTTAATAATTCTATGATGGGTCATTCTATGATTGAATTTCAATCAGAAAAATGTTCACTAAATTTTGGTAAAATACATGGTATCTTTAACATTTCTATCCCTTTTGTCTGTAAATTGCTTTGCTTTACTTACATTGTTAAATGAGGTTAATTGTGTATCACTGAATTGTATGATTTTTTTCAGGATCAGCTGAGATGTAATCAATCACTGGATTATTTAATGGATAGGCTTATTGGGCATATATTTGGATATCTCTGGTAAGTTTGTCTTGTTTTTTTTAATTGTTTACATTCCCTATGAAGGTCATCTTTGCATTTAAGCATGATTATATGGTTAATTTAATGACTGTATAATACTTACATGTATGTGATATGTTGTCTCTATTAACTTACATTCATATAAATCATGATATAATTTCATAATTCATTATGTATGTTACCCATGGAATTCAGACTTACTAAATGGTGATCAAAGAGATATTAATTAGGAATCTAATAAGAGAAAAGGAGGAATTTACAAAAGATTAATTCTAAGTCATTTACTTTTTGTTTTGATTCTAAATATGTGTGATATATGCTATACATATATTTTCATTTTCACTTTTGTTTCTTAAGCTTTTCAAAAAAAAAAAAAAAAAAAAAAGGACTACATGTTGTACTGTGATGATGTAAAAAAATAAAAATGTATTTTTCTGTATGCATTACTGATAGCTATTAAACCAAAATTGAATCTGCTGTTAATAAAAGGTCTTTTAGTGTCTAAATAATTAATTTGATAATCATTTTATTTTGTGATATTAATACATTAGTTGTGCTTGTTTATTATCTATAAATAACATGATGAACTTTTCTCATCTCGAGTTAATGTTAAAAACAATTTGTTTTGAGTCTAAACACAAATATTTTCATGATCTTTTTTTGACATTGTACATGTTGTATTTAAACATGCATTGTTTCATGCAGTACTCTGTCATATTAAAAAAATGCTTTTATTCTACAGTCATCAACATGGAATGTATGACTTCATCTTTTATACAGTCGGGTTCGGGGTTTCGGGCGGCCATGACGAATTTCGGCAAGATTTTACCCCAGTGAAAAAGGCTTGTAATCCACAGTGTAGGTCTTTTAAAGTTGTTTCACATTGTTTATGATTGTGATTATGTTATCACTCACCTATATGTTTAATGTTAGCTATGCTAAATAACCCATTTCTGTGTAATTTGAGAGAATGTTTTTGTCATGTGCTTAAAGTATGGCCTGCTATTCATGTCATCATTTAAAGTCGCTCCTCAAATAAATCTGTCTTAAAAAATACATTTTACAAATGACATTTAATATGATTAGAGTATAGGTATCCAAATATATAAGAGATATTATTTTGCATTACATTTATAAGAGGCATTGTCTCATGTAATTTAAATCATAATAACAAAAATGGAATTTATTTTTCTATACAGTCCTCAACCTGGAAGATATGTTTTGTTCCTAACCATCTATAATCCATTCTCTATGAAGTGAAGCCTGGCTGCTCTTCCTTTGGAAATACACAGTTAGTCAATCAACATAGAAACACACAAACTTGAAGGTAAAGTTTCAATGAGATACAATTGTAACTTTTATTTATTTATTTTTTTTTTTGTTACATATGCATGTTTATATTTTTGAATTGATAAATAAATGATATATTTAAATAAAGAGGGCTTGGTGGTCATGGTCATGTTTAAACCATATTGATATCCTTCACAAGAAAAGGCATAAAAATTCATGATCAAATTTTAAAACTAAAATGTATGAAGTTTTTCTGTGCCAAATGATAGTTAACAGCTAAAGATAGCTTATCTATAGAATAAGTTAAATATGGCTAATTTGTTAACCCCCAGTTTCCTTAATAGCATAGTTGGTAAAGATAGCAAGTTTTCACTTCAATTGCTGGTGAATTCTGAATTTTCCATTTAATATTAACATTATATCACAGGGAAAGAATACTATAATGTGGTTCATTAGGATGACCAGAAAAGAAATCTTAATGACCCTTATGACTATGTATAAAGTCTGTAACCTTATAACTGATGTAAGATGACCTGATTGTTTGGAATTAAAATTTCCTGGTGTTTCTATTACCCAAGATCTTCTTATGAGTGCATGGGACTGTTGTAACCCTTCTCCTGTTTATAAAAATAATACCTTGGAGCATGACACTTTATTCATTTAAGGTACTTTCAATATCATTTCTATGAGTTTGTGTTCTTTTTCTTTTTAATAATCTAGTGTTATATCTCCTTTACCCTAATTAATATGCATGCTTCCAAAATCATTATAGATCTGTCTGTATAGTTTCTTCAGCTCTTTGAACACAAATACCCTGATTCAAACTTTTGAGGTAAACATCATGGAGGCATCATAAATGATTATCAGAGTGTATATATCACAATCTTGACCATAAGGTCAATTAAAATGGTCAAAAGCACAACAAATGAAAGTGAAAACTTTCTTATCAGAATACATAATTTTGTAATAGTAATTCTTACCTTCTTTTGGTAATAAATGGTTATATTCTTCATTAGCTTCTTCTGCAATCAAGGATCTTTCTATGTAATCTCTGACAACATTAGGATCACCCTTTTCTGGACATAATTGGTTATATTCTTCTTGAGAAATGATCTCAATAATGCTATCTTTTTTTTATTTTAACTGGTATACCTCTGTCTACATCTTTCTCTGAAAGAACTCTCTTTTCAAACTGAATTTTACACATTCCTTTACTCTTTTCTTTACTGGAGGTGTTACCCATGGTTAATATGAAAAGTCAAAATCTGATGTTACACCTTGTATTTATACCCTTTTTTGTCTATATTTAGAATTCCATCAAGCTTATATTACATAACAATTTTTTTTTTTCAACTAAGACATTATTTTTATTTTCCAGGATATTCTAGTGAGGGCTTATGGAAATGATCTATGTCTACTCTCAGAATGGTGAAAGACTATCAGATTATGCAAAGACTAACAGGATATCCTCTCTTGGAACACTGAAACAAGAAAATCAAACAGGAGGTGGATGGAGGATTTAAGAAGCATGGTGAAAGACTATCAGATTATGCAAAGACTAACAGAATATCCTCTCTTAAAACACTGAAACAAGAAAATCAAACAGGATGGAGGATTTAAGAAGCACATAGATAAATATGATTTCCAACCAATTTAAGTACGATCATAGACTGTGCTTTACAGGATGACAAAGAAAGGACCCAGGATAGTATCTTTTACTGTCAGACACTGACTATGGATAAGATGTAGCCATTTATCAAACTGAGATCTAGTCAAATCAAGTATTGAGAACATGATTTTCTGATAACATGAATTTATTCTCACCAACTTCAAAGTATCTATATTTATTTTTTTTATTATATATATATTATATATATATTATTATATATATTATTTATTATATATGTATTTATTTTTACTAACTCATATTGAAGACAGTTGTTATGTAAGAGAAGTATACATTTAAACCTTTTATTTTTCATCTTATTTCTATAACCCCTAACAAATTACACAGATGTTTTAGAAGCTAGCTTTGCTGTAATTATTACTTTCATGGAATTGTAAATACATTTTGTTTGTGTATGTGTATCCTATTTTGAATTTAATAAGTCTCAATAGGACCCCCTAAAGATGCAAGTGTCCCCTAATCTGTGATGTAATAATATCTTGAATATTTTTTATCATCCCATAGACTTCATGCTTACTTCACAGAACAGGTTAGAGTAATGCACTTAGTTTTCTAGGACACTTCATCAGGGTCAAAGCATGAGATTATTGATTCAGAGATAACTACCTTTGAAAATAATTTGTAACATACAAACTTCACATCATAAGTAAAGAAAGATTCAGAGATTTTCTATAGATTTTTGGATCATTTTTTTTTCATGGGTTTTATTTTCAGTTGTTGTAACTTTAACAATTTGTGATAACCTAGAGACTTTACAGGCATATTCTTTGGTAAATCATATGCACTATGTTCAAGGATGTTTAAAGACTATTACTATGTAATACCTTTGAATTCTGTAAAAATCTTTTCACTGCATAGATAAAAACTGGTTGGAATAATACATGTTGACAATAATTTGCAACCTACAAACTTCACATCATAAGTAAAGAAAGATTCAGAGATTTTCTATAGATTTTTGGATCATTTTTTTTTCATGGGTTTTATTTTCAGTTGTTGTAACTTTAACAATTTGTGATAACCTAGAGACTTTACAGGCATATTCTTTGGTAAATCATATGCACTATGTTCAAGGATGTTTAAAGACTATTACTATGTAATACCTTTGAATTCTGTAAAAATCTTTTCACTGCATAGATAAAAACTGGTTGGAATAATACATGTTGACAATAATTTGCAACCTACAAACTTCACATCATAAGTAAAGAAAGATTCAGAGATTTTCTATAGATTTTTGGATCATTTTTTTCATGGGTTATATTTTCAGTTGTTTTAACTTTAACAATTTGTGATAACCTAGAGACTTTTTATCAGCTTTATTGGGTGGCATGGCATATTCTTTGGTAAATCATATGCACTATGTTCAAGGATGTTTAAAGGCTATTACTATGTAATACCTTAGAATTCTATTAAAATCTTAATATCACTGCATAGATAAAAACTGGTTGGAATAATACATGTTGACAATAATTTGCAACCTACAAACTTCACATCATAAGTAAAGAAAGATTCAGAGATTTTCTATAGATTTTTGGATCATTTTTCTCCTGGATTATATTTTCAGTTGTTGTAACTTTAACAATTTGTGATAACTTATAGACTTTATAAAAATTAGGTGCAAATTCTTAGGAAAAGATTGAAATGTTAATCAAATGTACATGTTCAAGGGTGTATAAATGATTATTACTATGTAATACCTTAGAAGTCTGTTAAAATTTTATTATCACTGCATAGATAAAGACTGGTTGGAATAATTTATGTTTTGAAATAAGGTTTAGGGAAAAAAGTCAAGACTGTGGATATGACTTTTATTCAAATGGTGCAGTACAGCAACTCTGGTGATTTACATACCTTCAGTCATAAATAGATAGGTATTGGGAAGACTCCTCTAGATTTTGAAATTTTTAATTCAAAAGTATAGAACTTTTTTTTAAGTTTGAAAGATTAAATGGCAGCATATCATTTGCTTGTGAATTTAAAAAATAAATCCAAACACATACATCTTTGGATGATAATTATATAATTTTATCAATTCCTGGACTTCGGTCTTGATATCATCCTTTAATGTCCTTAAAATTTGAAGGACTGTCTTTTAGTTTTAGTTGAATTAGTTTCTTTTCTACATGTGAAAATGACATCATCCAAAGAAGTTCTTTGTCTGCATGTTATATGAAGAAGACAATTTTCATCACAGTGAAAGAGATTGATTTGTTAAAGATAATGCATTGATGCACAAATATATTTTAAAATTTTTTAATAGCTAGGGTTTATATTTCTTTATATGGAATGCTAAGTACTGTTGATTTCATTTTTTTGTGAACAAAGATATACTAGTAGAAAAAATGTACATGATGTGTCAGAAAAGCATGTGTAAACCTGATGACTTTATCATTGCTGATTAAATCAAATTATGAGTTTCATCTTTGTTACATTGTAAACATTTCTAAGTAGGGCACACACCAGAAACTCTTAAAATTATTATATCAGGGTTTAACACAACAATTTCAAATGATTTTTGGACGCTTTTCATGTATCAGAAAGACAAAACAGAATGTTTGTTCACAGATGTTCCAAAGGAAAACAAACACAAAGAAATGATTTGTAATGTTCTTTATGTGATTCATGTAAAATGTATTTTAAAAGTGTACCCTAACATTTATCTTTTGCATTTATATTTTTGTAAAGAATTTCTCATAACTTTGAAAAAGTAGTCTAATTGTATAATATGGGTAGCTTAAAATCTTGTAAACTTAAAAGTTGTACATGATGTGTTACACATCTTACATATGTAACCATTTCATTTCAGGGTTTTCAGCATATATTGTAGTTTTGTCTTAAATTTGTTTGCTTATGTAATCAATAATTTGCTAATACTCAAATTAGGAAATATATGAGAGAATAAACAAGAAAATCAGGTTTAAAAAATGTTTTTACTACAAAGGGGTTAATCCATAAGTAATTTCAGTCTATACATTTAAGGTATTGGTTTATGAAATAAACTTACATATGAACATTGTAAGACGATTGTAATCATTAGTTTAACCAGTTTTTAAAAAAAATAAATAGATTCACTGTCAGCATGTTATTTCTTGTAAAATAAATGAGAAAACAATTTTATTTGAGTCAGTTTTTTTTAATGTAAATTAAAAAGCATTGGAAGTTGGGAATATTTCACAAAGTTAATTAATTTATACAAAATTTTTTATACATAAGTGAATAGAATTGGGCAGCAGGCAAAGCCTATTTGAGCCCTCTTCCTAAAGAGGGTAATTGAGCATAATTCTCACTAGGATAGTTGAAATATTTTGATTTAAGCATTAAAGAAACTATTTCATATTGAAATATACAAACCATGTTTAGTCATGCAGTATATAGTTTACACTTGACAAAATGTAAACCTTATCTCTATTCAGGGTCAATCCAAAGGTCAAAAAGTAATGAAAAAAATATTTCTCTTTATGTATCAAACATGCAGGTATTATTGCAATAAATTCACTGTATTCATTTTTTGTTCTCTTTCTATGTATGAATAGCTCTAATTTAGGCAATCAAAGCAAATGAGTTATGTCAAATGATGAAGGTATACACAAGAAATTAACATGGACAGAGAATTTTGAGTTTCCCTCAAATATGGCTGCCAAGTGATGTGAAATAAAAACAAAATGTGGATTCATCTATTAGGATTGAAACTTGTACATAATATGAATGATGGACACTATGACATTAAGAATGACATGAAAGAAATAAGTTTGATTCAATTATATGAACAGCTCTTAATCCATACAGTCAAAATGGAGGAAAAAAAATTTCTTTATTAGGCATAAAGTAACAAACACTCACCCAATACATCAGAATTTTACTTTTTTTGAAGAAAAGGAACCTTACTTACTTTGTTGAGTTGACATTCATATTTTTTGTGTTTGACAGGTAGAGCAATGGTTTCTAACTATTATAGTGAGAACTTTTTATTTAAGAGTCATCAGATTGTTCTGATATTTTGGTTAAAATAACTGCATGACATCAAATAATTTGTTCATACAAAGGACTAAAAGATTTTCCAGGTTTCTTCTTTAGTCAGATTAAATAGTGTTCAACTAATATGTTCAAAATACATTATACAAGATAATCATCCAAGTTACACAAAGGTAAACAAATGACCTTATTATGTTTTAAGTCAAAAGGTCAAAGTGAGGAGGATATCTGCTATATTTAATAGTTTGGTTAATATTCATCAAACTTCATGAATAGGTTAATTAAACAAGCTTCATATATTTTGATTATCAGATCAAAGATCAGCACACTTTTTGCGATACCATTGTTGTCTATGAATATCTTAACACCTCTATTGATTTTTCAGATTAAAGGTCAATGTGTTCCTGCTACAGTAAAACTTCATTATAAGGATATCAGAGTGATTTGTTTAGTTGTAAGAAATTAGTTATAAAATCTCCCACTCTTTCTATAATATGTCACTGAATGGGCTCCTTCATTTTAAAGAATTTTACAAGCAAATCATATACTGACTTTTAATCCTTCAAAACACAATATGTATATTAAATCTTGAGATTGAGATTTCAGCCTTTTAGGATTTCAGACTCTCAGGCTTTCAATCTTTAAAAACTTTCAATCTTGAGGACTGAGTATTTTCATATTTATTTTGTAAGTCTTGTCTTTTATGTCATTACGATTGATCCTTAGTAATTTAAACTTTTTCATATTTGTAAAACCAGAGTGTGAAAGTATAGTGTTTGTGTAATCTTCTAAATGTTTATCCATAAATACTGCTTTTAATACAGTCAAATATAATTTGTGATGATCAAAATTTCCAAATTGCCTGACCTATACATATTTAAAGTTCAATATCATACATCTTGAATATTTATAAATATCAATATTTTGATGTAAGCAGTTAGCTATCATCCAACACTTGTTAACCAAGGAGAGGCTCTTATCATAAGTTAAACTCATGAAATTCCTCATGCAATTTTGAAAAATCTCTGTTAAAGGAATGGTAAAGACAAAAGACCCATAAATTTCCAAAGTTAATATTAAAAATATATAATTAAATTAAAAGGAACATTTGAAAAATTAATTTAATTCAATTTTATAATTTTTTAAAAATGACAAATTTCATTAATAGTTTATAATTTTTGTTTAAATAATCTTTATGACAAAAAGGATGGTGTAAAGTTAGCCTCACCCTCTCCCAAGGGTGTTGGGTGAGGCTAACTTTACACATACTTTTTGTCACATAACTTTACACATGAAAACATTTTTTCATAAAGATTATCACAAATTATATTTGACTGTATTAAAAAAATTTATGGATAAATCATTTAGAAGATTACACAAACACTTACTTTCACATTCTGGTTTTACAAATATGAAAAAGTTTAAATTACTAAGGATCAATTAATGACAAAAAGACAAGACTTACAAAATAAATATGAAAATACTCAGTCCTGGAAGATTGAAAGTTTTTAAAGATTGAAAGCCTGAGAGTCTGAAATCCTAAAAGGCTGAAATCTCAATCTCAAGATTTAATATACATATTGTGTTTTGAAGGATTAAAAGTCAGTATATGATTTGCTTGTAAAATTCTTTAAAATGAAGGAGCCCATTCAGTGACATATTATAGAAAGAGTGGGAGATTTTATATATTTCTTACAACTAAACAAATCACTCTGATAATTATAATGAAGTTTTACTGTAGCAGGAACACATTGACTTTTAATCTGAAAAATCAATAGAGGTGTTAAGATATTCATAGACAACAATGGTTAAAAAGTGTGCTGATCTTTGATCTGATAATCAAAATATATGAAGCTTGTTTAATTAACCTATTCATGAAGTTTGATGAATATTAACCAAACTATTAAATATAGCAGATATCCTCCTCACTTTGACCTTTTGACTTAAAACATAATAAGGTCATTTGTTTACCTTTGTGTAACTTGGATGATTATCTTGTATAATGTATTTTGAACATATTAGTTGAACACTATTTAATCTGGTTAAAGAAGAAACCTGGAAAATCTTTTAGTCCTTTGTATGAACAAATTATTTGATGTCATGCAGTTATTTTAACCAAAATATCAGAACAATCTGATGACTCTTAAATAAAAAGTTCTCACTATAATAGTTAGAAACCATTGCTCTACCTGTCAAACACAAAAAATATGAATGTCAACTCAACAAAGTAATAAGGTTCCTTTTCTTGAAAAAAAGTAAAATTCTGATGTATTGGGTGAGTGTTTGTTACTTTATGCCTAATAAAGAAATTTTTTTTCCTCCATTTTGACTGTATGGATTAAGAGCTGTTCATATAATTGAATCAAACTTATTTCTTTCATGTCATTCTTAATGTCATCTGTCCATCATTATAATGAAGTTTCAACTGTAGCAGGAACACATTTTGTTTTTATTGAAACATCACTTGGCAGCCATATTTAGGGACAACAATGGTATCGCAAAAGTGTGCTGATCTTTGTCCATGATTCAAAATATATCTTGTGTATTAACCTATTCATCAGTTTGACATAACTCATTTGCTTTGAATATTAACCAAACTATTAAATATAGCAGATATCCTCCTCACTTTGACCTTTTGACTTAAAACATAATAAGGTCATTTGTTTACCTTTGTGTAACTTGGATGATTATCTTGTATAATGTATTTTGAACATATTAGTTGAACACTATTTAATCTGACTAAAGAAGAAACCTGGAAAATCTTTTAGTCCTTTGTATGAACAAATTATTTGATGTCATGCAGTTATTTTAACCAAAATATCAGAACAATCTGATGACTCTTAAATAAAAAAAGTTCTCACTATAATAGTTAGAAACTATTGCTCTACCTGTCAAACACAAAAAATATGAATGTCAACTCAACAAAGTAAGTAAGGTTCCTTTTCTTCAAAAAAGTAAAATTCTGATGTATCGGTTGAGTGTTTGTTACTTTATGCCTAATAAAGAAAATTTTTTCCTCCATTTTGACTGTATGGATTAAGAGCTGTTCATATAATTGAATCAAACTTATTTCTTTCATGTCATTCTTAATGTCATAGTGTCCATCATTCATATTATGTACAAGTTTCAATCCTAATAGATGAATCCACATTTCTTTTTTAATTTGTATTAAAAACATTAAAATATTTTGAGGGAAACTCAAAATTCTCTGTCCATGTTAATTTCTTGTGTATACCTTCATCATTTGACATAACTCATTTGCTTTGATTGCCTAAATTAGAGCTATTCATACATAGAAAGAGAACAAAAAAAATGAATACAGTGAATTTATTGCAATAATACCTGCATGTTTGATACATAAAGAGAAATATTTTTTTCATTACTTTTTGACCTTTGGATTGACCCTGAATAGAGATAAGGTTTACATTTTGTCAAGTGTAAACTATATACTGCATGACTAAACATGGTTTGTATATTTCAATATGAAATAGTTTCTTTAATGCTTAAATCAAAATATTTCAACTATCCTAGTGAGAATTATGCTCAATTACCCTCTTTAGGAAGAGGGCTCAAATAGGCTTTGCCTGCTGCCCAATTCTATTCACTTATGTATAAAAAATTTTGTATAAATTAATTAACTTTGTGAAATATTCCCAACTTCCAATGCTTTTTAATTTACATTAAAAAAAACTGACTCAAATAAAATTGTTTTCTCATTTATTTTACAAGAAATAACATGCTGACAGTGAATCTATTTATTTAAAAAAAAAAAACTGGTTAAACTAATGATTACAATTGTCTTACAATGTTCATATGTAAGTTTATTTCATAAACCAATACCTTAAATGTATAGACTGAAATTACTTATGGATTAACCCCTTTGTAGTAAAAACATTTTTTAAACCTGATTTTCTTGTTTATTCTCTCATATATTTCCTAATTTGAGTATTAGCAAATTATTGATTACATAAGCAAACAAATTTAAGACAAAACTACAATATATGCTGAAAACCCTGAAATGAAATGGTTACATATGTAAGATGTGTAACACATCATGTACAACTTTTAAGTTTACAAGATTTTAAGCTACCCATATTATACAATTAGACTACTTTTTCAAAGTTATGAGAAATTCTTTACAAAAATATAAATGCAAAAGATAAATGTTAGGGTACACTTTTAAAATACATTTTACATGAATCACATAAAGAACATTACAAATCATTTCTTTGTGTTTGTTTTCCTTTGGAACATCTGTGAACAAACATTCTGTTTTGTCTTTCTGATACATGAAAAGCGTCCAAAAATCATTTGAAATTGTTGTGTTAAACCCTGATATAATAATTTTAAGAGTTTCTGGTGTGTGCCCTACTTAGAAATGTTTACAATGTAACAAAGATGAAACTCATAATTTGATTTAATCAGCAATGATAAAGTCATCAGGTTTACACATGCTTTTCTGACACATCATGTACATTTTTTTCTACTAGTATATCTTTGTTCACAAAAAAAAATGAAATCAACAGTACTTAGCATTCCATATAAAGAAATTTAAACCCTAGCTATTAAAAAATTTTAAAATATATTTGTGCATCAATGCATTATCTTTAACAAATCAATCTCTTTCACTGTGATGAAAATTGTCTTCTTCATATAACATGCAGACAAAGAACTTCTTTGGATGATGTCATTTTCACATGTAGAAAAGAAACCGAATTCAACTAAAACTAAAAGACAGTCATTAAAATTTTAAGGACATTAAAGGATGATATCAAGACCGAAGTCCAGGAATTGATAAAATTATATAATTATCATCCAAAGATGTATGTGTTTGGATTTATTTTTTTAAATTCACAAGCAAATGATATGCTGCCATTTAATCTTTCAAACTTAAAAAAAAAGTTCTATACTTTTGAATTAAAAATTTCAAAATCTAGAGGAGTCTTCCCAATACCTATCTATTTATGACTGAAGGTATGTAAATCACCAGAGTTGCTGTACTGCACCATTTGAATAAAAGTCATATCCACAGTCTTGACTTTTTTCCCTAAACCTTATTTCAAAACATAAATTATTCCAACCAGTCTTTATCTATGCAGTGATAATAAAATTTTAACAGACTTCTAAGGTATTACATAGTAATAATCATTTATACACCCTTGAACATGTACATTTGATTAACATTTCAATCTTTTCCTAAGAATTTGCACCTAATTTTTATAAAGTCTATAAGTTATCACAAATTGTTAAAGTTACAACAACTGAAAATATAATCCAGGAGAAAAATGATCCAAAAATCTATAGAAAATCTCTGAATCTTTCTTTACTTATGATGTGAAGTTTGTAGGTTGCAAATTATTGTCAACATGTATTATTCCAACCAGTTTTTATCTATGCAGTGATATTAAGATTTTAATAGAATTCTAAGGTATTACATAGTAATAGTCTTTAAACATCCTTGAACATAGTGCATATGATTTACCAAAGAATATGCCATGCCACCCAATAAAGCTGATAAAAAGTCTCTAGGTTATCACAAATTGTTAAAGTTACAACAACTGAAAATATAACCCATGAAAAAAATGATCCAAAAATCTATAGAAAATCTCTGAATCTTTCTTTACTTATGATGTGAAGTTTGTAGGTTGCAAATTATTGTCAACATGTATTATTCCAACCAGTTTTTATCTATGCAGTGAAAAGATTTTTACAGAATTCAAAGGTATTACATAGTAATAGTCTTTAAACATCCTTGAACATAGTGCATATGATTTACCAAAGAATATGCCTGTAAAGTCTCTAGGTTATCACAAATTGTTAAAGTTACAACAACTGAAAATAAAACCCATGAAAAAAAAATGATCCAAAAATCTATATGAAAATCTCATGTATTATTGAATCTTTCTTTACTTATGATGTGAAGTTTGTATTGTGAAAATACATGAAAAAAAAATTATAGAAAATCTCTCATCTTTCTTTAAGGTGAAGTTTTATGTTACAAATTATTTTCAAAGGTAGTTATCTCTGAATCAATAATCTCATGCTTTGACCCTGATGAAGTGTCCTAGAAAACTAAGTGCATTACTCTAACCTGTTCTGTGAAGTAAGCATGAAGTCTATGGGATGATAAAAAATATTCAAGATATTATTACATCACAGATTAGGGGATACTTGCATCTTTAGGGGGTCCTATTGAGACCTATTAAATTCAAAATAGGATACACATACACAAACAAAATGTATTTACAATTCCATGAAAGTAATAATTACAGCAAAGCTAGCTTCTAAAACATCTGTGTAATTTGTTAGGGGTTATAGAAATAAGATGAAAAATAAAAGGTTTAAATGTATACTTCTCTTACATAACAACTGTCTTCAATATGAGTTAGTAAAAATAAATACATATATAATAAATAATATATATAATAATATATATATATATATATATATATAATAAAAAAAAATAAATATAGATACTTTGAAGTTGGTGAGAATAAATTCATGTTATCAGAAAATCATGTTCTCAATACTTGATTTGACTAGATCTCAGTTTGATAAATGGCTACATCTTATCCATAGTCAGTGTCTGACAGTAAAAGATACTATCCTGGGTCCTTTCTTTGTCATCCTGTAAAGCACAGTCTATGATCGTACTTAAATTGGTTGGAAATCATATTTATCTATGTGCTTCTTAAATCCTCCATCCTGTTTGATTTTCTTGTTTCAGTGTTTTAAGAGAGGATATTCTGTTAGTCTTTGCATAATCTGATAGTCTTTCACCATGCTTCTTAAATCCTCCATCCACCTCCTGTTTGATTTTCTTGTTTCAGTGTTCCAAGAGAGGATATCCTGTTAGTCTTTGCATAATCTGATAGTCTTTCACCATTCTGAGAGTAGACATAGATCATTTCCATAAGCCCTCACTAGAATATCCTGGAAAATAAAAATAATGTCTTAGTTGAAAAAAAAAATTGTTATGTAATATAAGCTTGATGGAATTCTAAATATAGACAAAAAAGGGTATAAATACAAGGTGTAACATCAGATTTTGACTTTTCATATTAACCATGGGTAACACCTCCAGTAAAGAAAAGAGTAAAGGAATGAGTAAAATTCAGTTTGAAAAGAGAGTTCTTTCAGAGAAAGATGTAGACAGAGGTATACCAGTTAAAATAAAAAAAAAGATAGCATTATTGAGATCATTTCTCAAGAAGAATATAACCAATTATGTCCAGAAAAGGGTGATCCTAATGTTGTCAGAGATTACATAGAAAGATCCTTGATTGCAGAAGAAGCTAATGAAGAATATAACCATTTATTACCAAAAGAAGGTAAGAATTACTATTACAAAATTATGTATTCTGATAAGAAAGTTTTCACTTTCATTTGTTGTGCTTTTGACCATTTTAATTGACCTTATGGTCAAGATTGTGATATATACACTCTGATAATCATTTATGATGTCTCCATGATGTTTACCTCAAAAGTTTGAATCAGGGTATTTGTGTTCAAAGAGCTGAAGAAACTATACAGACAGATCTATAATGATTTTGGAAGCATGCATATTAATTAGGGTAAAGGAGATATAACACTAGATTATTAAAAAGAAAAAGAACACAAACTCATAGAAATGATATTGAAAGTACCTTAAATGAATAAAGTGTCATGCTCCAAGGTATTATTTTTATAAACAGGAGAAGGGTTACAACAGTCCCATGCACTCATAAGAAGATCTTGGGTAATAGAAACACCAGGAAATTTTAATTCCAAACAATCAGGTCATCTTACATCAGTTATAAGGTTACAGACTTTATACATAGTCATAAGGGTCATTAAGATTTCTTTTCTGGTCATCCTAATGAACCACATTATAGTATTCTTTCCCTGTGATATAATGTTAATATTAAATGGAAAATTCAGAATTCACCAGCAATTGAAGTGAAAACTTGCTATCTTTACCAACTATGCTATTAAGGAAACTGGGGGTTAACAAATTAGCCATATTTAACTTATTCTATAGATATGCTATCTTTAGCTGTTAACTATCATTTGGCACAGAAAAACTTCATACATTTTAGTTTTAAAATTTGATCATGAATTTTTATGCCTTTTCTTGTGAAGGATATCAATATGGTTTAAACATGACCATGACCACCAAGCCCTCTTTATTTAAATATATCATTTATTTATCAATTCAAAAATATAAACATGCATATGTAAAAAAAAAAATAAATAAATAAATAAAAGTTACAATTGTATCTCATTGAAACTTTACCTTCAAGTTTGTGTGTTTCTATGTTGATTGACTAACTGTGTATTTCCAAAGGAAGAGCAGCCAGGCTTCACTTCATAGAGAATGGATTATAGATGGTTAGGAACAAAACATATCTTCCAGGTTGAGGACTGTATAGAAAAATAAATTCCATTTTTGTTATTATGATTTAAATTACATGAGACAATGCCTCTTATAAATGTAATGCAAAATAATATCTCTTATATATTTGGATACCTATACTCTAATCATATTAAATGTCATTTGTAAAATGTATTTTTTAAGACAGATTTATTTGAGGAGCGACTTTAAATGATGACATGAATAGCAGGCCATACTTTAAGCACATGACAAAAACATTCTCTCAAATTACACAGAAATGGGTTATTTAGCATAGCTAACATTAAACATATAGGTGAGTGATAACATAATCACAATCATAAACAATGTGAAACAACTTTAAAAGACCTACACTGTGGATTACAAGCCTTTTTCACTGGGGTAAAATCTTGCCGAAATTCGTCATGGCCGCCCGAAACCCCGAACCCGACTGTATAAAAGATGAAGTCATACATTCCATGTTGATGACTGTAGAAATAAAAGCATTTTTTTAATATGACAGAGTACTGCATGAAACAATGCATGTTTAAATACAACATGTACAATGTCAAAAAAGATCATGAAAATATTTGTGTTTAGACTCAAAACAAATTGTTTTTAACATTAACTCGAGATGAGAAAAGTTCATCATGTTATTTATAGATAATAAACAAGCACAACTAATGTATTAATATCACAAAATAAAATGATTATCAAATTAATTATTTAGACACTAAAAGACCTTTTATTAACAGCAGATTCAATTTTGGTTTAATAGCTATCAGTAATGCATACAGAAAAATACATTTTTATTTTTTTTTACATCATCACAGTACAACATGTAGTCCTTCATTTTTTTTTTTTTTTGAAAAGCTTAAGAAACAAAAGTGAAAATGAAAATATATGTATAGCATATATCACACATATTTAGAATCAAAACAAAAAGTAAATGACTTAGAATTAATCTTTTGTAAATTCCTCCTTTTCTCTTATTAGATTCCTAATTAATATCTCTTTGATCACCATTTAGTAAGTCTGAATTCCATGGGTAACATACATAATGAATTATGAAATTATATCATGATTTATATGAATGTAAGTTATATAGAGACAACATATCACATACATGTAAGTATTACACAGTCATTAAATTAAACCATATAATCATGCTTAAATGCAAAGATGACCTTCATAGGGAATGTAAACAATTAAAAAAAAAACAAGACAAACTTACCAGAGATATCCAAATATATGCCCAATAAGCCTATCCATTAAATAATCCAGTGATTGATTACATCTCAGCTGATCCTGAAAAAAAATCATACAATTCAGTGATACACAATTAACCTCATTTAACAATGTAAGTAAAGCAAAGTAATTTACAGACAAAAGGGATAGAAATGTAAAAGATACCATGTATTTTACCAAAATTTAGTGAACATTTTTCTGATTGAAATTCAATATCATAGAATGACCCATCATAGAATTATTAAATGCACTCTGAGTTACATGCAGGCTAAACAATTGTAAATCACATGAAATGAGGATAAATATAGTATTTACATTCAAAACAGAACTTTACATAATCATGGTTAAATACAAAGATGACCTTCATATAGGAAATGTAAACAAAAATAAGACAAACTTACCTGTAGAATATGTCTGTCAGAAAGGAGATTTCAAAAATGAACACGCTCTCAACATTCACATGACAAGAATGCATCAGGATGTTTACTTCCGTGGTCATGGAAAAATTGAGCTTTATACAAGGAAAGCTTCACAGTAGGAAATCATCAGTAAAAGAGAGGAAAAACAAAAGATAGTCTTACATTTTTTGAAAATCTAAGTTGACTTCTTAGAAACAAAAGTGAAAATGAAACTTTAATTTTACAAGTGTATGACGTCATAATGCATAGGGTAGCTCGCTGACATGGATGACGTCACAATGCATAGGTAAGCATATTTTTATTTTTTTTTTGCACACGGCCCTAAACAAACTTGCCAAGTATTTACCTGTGTAGTCAGCATATTTTTTGCCTTGAAAGTATTTACCTGTGTAGTCAGCATATTTTTTTTACCTGTGTAGTCAGCATATTTTTTGCACACGGTCCCCTGACTTGAATCGCTGCCAAGTATTACCTGTGTAGTCAGCATATTTTTTACACAAGGGCCCCCTGACTTGAATCGCTGCCAAGTATTTACCTGTGTAGTCAGCATATTTTTTGCACACGGGCCCCCCTGACTTGAATCGCTGCCAAGTATTTTACCTGTGTAGTCAGCATATTTTTTGCACACGGTCCTCTGACTTGAATCGCTGCCAAGTATTTACCTGTAAGTCAGCATATTTTTTACACACAAAACTTATCGCTGCCAAGTATTTACCTGTGTAGTCAGCATATTTTTTTTTTTTTTTTGCACACGGCTCCAATGTAAACACCTACGTACCAATGTAAACAACTCCAGTATTTAAGGGGAATAGGTTAGGGTTAGTTAGGGGGTTAGGGTTAGGTTAGGGTTAGGGGGTTACGGTTAGTTAGGGTTAGTTAGGGCGATAGGGTTAGTTAGGGGTTAGTTAGGGTTAGGGTTAGGGTTAGGGCTAAGGGGGATAGGGTTAGGGTTAGGGTTAGGGTTAGGGTTAGGGGTTAGGGTTAGTTAGGGTTAGTTAGGGATAGGGGCTAGGGTTAGGGCTAGGGTTAGGGGGAATTAGGGTTAGGACTGCACTCAGTTGACCCACCTATTCCCTCCACCAATCAGAACTGATCACATAATTTCTCTCAGCCAATCAGAATGCGGGGCTATCTAGACCGTTTATACTACTCCCCTCCTTTCAAAACACGTACAGGAATTATATTTAATAGAGGGGAAAATTCTCTCAGGGGAATTCGCACAATATAAATGTAAAAATTGGATCATTGAATGTGATTAATTCCCTAAAAATTCCTGAATGAACTAATCCTCGTGCTTTAGTCAGATGAGTTAATTTATCCCTGCTTCGGAAGCTAATTCCTTGTTGTTCGTATTCTGGATTTTATTTCTATGTTGATGGACTAATCCCCGTACTTTAGTCAAGTGAGCTAATTCAAGCTCCAAAAGCCAATTCCAAATTATCCGTAATACTCTATTATTTTTTTTTTGTACTTTTGTATCGGTATAATAAAACAAAACTTTGGAATTTGCAAAAAATAAAAAATAAAGATTTTGCTTAGGGCTTTCATACTTCACATGTGTATCTAATTAATGTAACAAGACCTTTCCATGAGTTTAAATAGTTCTGATGTTTGACCTTGACTCCAAATGCAGTAAGCAAGATTCAAGCTCCCCTCTGGCAGTGTCCTAGACCCTCCAATGAGAACAGACTTTAAAAGTCAACACCTGCTGGTCATCTTAAGGAAACTTTCATAAGCATACGCTTGTAACAAAGTATCGCACCTCTCCCCTTCAGCACAAAAGTTCAGCTATTATATTTTATTGGGTGAGATTGGCTCTGTTAGAAATCACATTCTATATTCTATACCTACTATGCAGAGTAGGATTTTCTCCCTGAAAAATGACTCTCATGTGGAATTTCTGTTCAGGAAATTCTGCTCTAGAGCCAGATTTTCGGGGTGATTCTACTTTTGAGCCAGTTTTCCGAGGGGAAATCCTAACTCGATCTAGAGCCATTTTGGGAGGGGGATTCAGACGCCGCATGGTACATGTACATATTGACGTTGCGTCAAAATAATGAATAAAATTAATCTTACCGAAAGTAATGATTTTCCTTCATTTCCATGCAGTGCCAAACATTTACCATGCATGTTTACACGTGTTTTTAACAGTGATAACTTTTGTAATTTAGGTGAATACAATGTATTTTATTAAACCGAGCAAAGAAAAAAAATGTAGTCTATATCGTTATGTCATGTATTATAGGGTTATTGAACTTATATTGGTGAATATTGGCACAAGTTGGCTGTTCAAATGCACGAGCTTGCGAGTGCATTTGAACAGCCAACGTGTGCCTATATACTCTCCGATCGCGACTTTTCAAGCGAGGCGGGTATCATAAAGTAAGAACAATGCAAAAGCACTGCTTTATGGCTCTGTAAAATCTGAAAGTGGACAGCAAAATGCGCTGTTAAAGTTTTAGACTTTTGTAAAATTTCAATTTTTTTTAAAGAAAGAAATTATCTATTCTTAGTTTCATGGCAACGGAAATTATTTTGGATAAACATATTCAAGTGTACATGTATAATTTAAACTCAGAAACTTGGTGAGTATTTATGGACATATAGTTTGAAATATAATTGCGAAAAATGTGTTTGTGAAACACCGATGTCCCCGTAAGACAACAGGCTCAACAGTTCTCATATGCAAGTCAAAAACCAAGGCCAAGAATCAAAAATGTTTTACCGAGAGCCAGGACTTGTGTCAATGAATGAGCCTTGTAAATATGAAAGCCCAAGCACCAACTATTTCAAAGTTATGGTAAAGGTTAATGTTTTCTAAAAGTGGACCAAACTCAATGGTGAAGGTAAAAGAGTCAAAATTAATGTTGCGCAAGGGAAGATCTTAAGTCTTAAGAAATACACATGCAAAATGTACAAGTCCTAGCATTAACTTTTCAAAAGTAATGACCACAGTTAAAGTTTTTTGTAAAAGTGGGTCAAACTTCAAGGTCAATGTCAAAAGGTTAAAAATATTTACACCCATTGAAAAGTCTTGTAAAAATAAATTCAAATGTGAAACATTAAAGCCTTAACATTAATTGTTTATTAGGTATGGCCATAAGTTAACGTTGTTGTTTTAATGCCACCGTAATCAAAGATTCGGGGGTATATAGTTTTTGTCATGTCCATCCATCTATTTGTCTGTTTGTCCGCAAAAACTTTAATCTTGTGCGTAACTTTTGATTTTGTGGAGCTATGACTTTCATATTTCACATGTGTATTCCTTGTGACAAGACCTTTCTTTGGGTACAACCAAATTTGACCTTTTGACCTTGGAGTTTGACCCACTTTTACATAAATATTCCAAATTTTTACTTTAGCCATAATGTTTGAACGGTTAATACTAGGACTTTCATACGTCACATATATATTCTTTGTGACAAGTCCTTTTATTGGATATTTACAACTTTGACCTTTTGACCTTGACCAAGGGTATTTCAGTACTTACATGTATAAAAAAAAAATTGAACCTTAGTCATAAATTTTGAATGATAAAAACAAGGCTTTCATACTTCATAAATGTAATCCCTGTGAGATCTTTTATTGGATACTAAGAACTTTGACCTTTTGACATTGACCTTGAGTTTGGCTTACTTTTCAAAAATGACATTGACTTAAACCATAACTTTAGAAGAGTTAAGGGTAGGACTTTCATACTTCACATATTTAATCCTTGTGACAATACCTTTCATTTGATACCAAGAACTCTTTGACCTTAACCTTGGAGTTTGACCTATTTTTAAAGAATTTAACCTTGGCAATAACCTTTGAACGGTTAGGGCTTTTATACTTCATATATGTAATCATTTTGACAAGACCTTTGATCTGCCTTTCAAAAAATTATCCTTGGCCACAATTTTTGAACAAGTGGTGCTAGGGCTTTCATATTTCATAATTGTATTTCTTGTGAGAAGACCCAACTTTGGGTACCAATATATTAATTTTACATTCAAGAAAAGTTTAATCTTCGCTATGTTGCCAAACGGGGTCATTAGTGTGCAAGCACAACTTTTTGTAAAAGGTCAAGATTAAAAGGTTAGATATGTTGGCACCCATAGGAATGTTGTCACAAGGAATACATGAGTGAAATATGATAGTTATAGCTCCACTGTAACGATAGTTATGGACATAGTTAAAAGTTTTTGCTTACAAACAGACAGAAAGACAGACAGGGCAAAATATATATATATATACATGTCCCTCTAAATCTTCGATTGCTTGGGGGTTTAAAGCCATATATGGCGTATGTACAATGAAAATTATTAGACTAAAATTATAAAAACTTATTATTTGTATTATGAGTTTATATAAAGATAGAACTTTTCCGTAAATTACAAAATCTATGTCAGTTGCGTCATAAAGATATCACAATCTAATTTGGATTCTCGGAATTTTCTCCGACTCGGAAGAAAATACAAAAAATACAACACATTACAGAGAAGATAAAATCGTATTATTAGATGAAACGAGGTGTTCTCCGTGACCAGAACTGTATGAAAAGCTTTAATTTAAATGTATTAACTATATTTCTTTACTTAATTTTGTATTTTTCAAAAATATTTTTTTGATCAGTTACGCCATATATGGCTTTAAAAATCTATTTCAAATAAAATTCTATAGATACGGTTTAAATGTTGTCCAACCGAATACATACAGTAGTATCATTTCTTAGAAGCCAATTTAACCAGATTAAAAGAATAAGATTTTGAAAGAATTGGTTAGTCAAACCATCTTTAAAAAAATGTTTGATTCCCCTCTCCCATTTAGGGTTCGAAAAAATTAGAGGTACTGTGAGCAATGAGATAACTAAATGATAACCTCGCCTCCAATATGAATATAATGTCCATGTTTTGCCAAGGGACATCCAAAATATTTGTCGAATCAAAAAGTTAAAAAAAAAAAAAAAAGAGGTTCACAATGGCATTATGTAATAAAGATTCTCTGAAAATCTCACCAAAATTCGTTCAGTTGTAGAAGAGGAGTTGCAGATAAGAGATAGGTACCCCAGTGCGTAACAGACGGACGAACAGACAGACGGACGGGGGTATAATGAATCGATGGAGGTTGGGAATT